CATTCGAATATTCATTCGATGAGTTAATATTCGAATATGAATTTAAGATTCGAATATTCATTTTTTTTTTTTCAGATTTCACAAAAAAGGTAATATAAATTTATGTATAATACAAAAAGTACTTTCAATAGTTTAATATGATCGGATCTAGAATCGAGAACGAAGAAGTGAAACCCTTCTTGAATGTCTAAGAGACTTGAAGAGTGTAGTTATGAAAATAAATTTTATTGATCATTGAATTACATCTTTGATAGAATCAGCGAGTAATATTGTGAAGGGCTCAATTTCAGAATAATGCATCAATTACTTGATTATCTCGTGTTGAATATATATCTGAATTTTAAAATCATTATCGGGAAATTAATAACTTAGGAAAATTTCTATAGAAGTGTTTGTTTATTATTTTCAAAACATTGTATCAAAGATTATATTTTACATGTATCTCTTATTAAGCATATAATTGTAATTAATTACATGTATTTAAATCTGAAGAGTAAACGACAATCTTGCCGCAGGTTCGACAATTTGAGCTTGCTTCGCCCGTTATGCAAATTATCCCACGTTTCCAACTATCGTTGATGCCCTGGCATACTCTACTAACTAGACAGTGATTCCTTATATGAATTATTGACAAAATTGACATCCCTAATATATATGTTATAATCATGCCAACACTTTGACTGCTTGATGAGCCATGAAATTCACAATTTTTGTCCCCCTTTGCCCAAAGATGCTCTATAGCAAAATCTTTATAATTGGTTCAGCGGTTGATGAGCAGAAGCTGAATATTTTCAAAAGTTTATGACCAATGAATGATGGATGTCTAACAATGAAAACATTGCAAATGGTCACCTAAGTGACTCAGGTAAATGGAGATAGAAATTATGTGCAACTCATATCTATAGTAAGTGGAATATAAGCCAAGACTGTGGCCAATTGAGCTGTTTTGAACTATGATCATGTTCAAAAAACATGCTAGACATAAAAATATATATTCCAGAATAATGTTTTATCCTCCCCCCCCCCCTTCCACTTAAAATTAAGGGGATTTAAACCCCCACACCCCTTCTGGATCCACCATTACTAATACTAATGACAACTGGACAATTAATTTTTTTTCCATCAGAAGCAAGAGTCTAAATTTAAGATATTGCAGATGCTTCCAAACTTGTCTCCACTGTTGTGGAATTCTACAGAATGTATATACATGTATGTTTATTAGAACTAGCTAACTTTCAGTAAAGTATACTTCATGAACAGCAATCAGAATATTTTAGTAATTTTTTTCCCCGTCATGCAAATACAAAATAAATTCTCTTTTCACTTCTGATATTTTCCCTGACCAAAATCTGATCAGCACGGACTAAGTGTATCGACTTGCTAGGCTGTATACGAAGCAGTATCAGTGTGTTTACTGTTTAGTTCATATATATATAAAGTTTATTACTTTTATGTGATGTATATTTCAATAAATGGAATACAAGGTGTAAATCACTTGGCTTGTGCACATCTTCGAACCGATGCAGTAGTCCTATTTCCAGGTATTGATAAATTTACAGCGTTCGACCCATTTTCTCGACATGCATCGATTGCATATAGACATGCACAGCAAAGATGCTGGTTGTTTTTTTTTCATTCTAATAGCAGATAATTTCAAGTTGTGTTTACAAGTTTAACTGCTTATTTTTTCAAAATTATTTTGCAATTATTGGCATACTTTAAACAAGAGGTCCAAGGGCCTTGAATCTCTCTTCTGATAAACTGTACAACCTATCACTTCAATTTGAAGCCTCTAAGTATGCTGTATATTTAGATAAACCCTTGAAATTCCAATTCACACTCTGAGAACCCAAGACGATTCTAAGCCAATTAGTACCCAAGAGTTGGTCATGGTGACCTATTTATCACTTGTCATTCTCTGAGGACCCATCAACTAAGTTTGATGATTCTAAACCAATTAATACCTAAAGTATTTTTTAAAATTATAACCATAAAATTTTATAAGTAGGTCAAAGTGACCTACTTTTCAGTTGTACTCACAGGACCCGGATGCATCAACTGACAAAGTTTAATGATTCTAGACCAATTAGTATCTGAAATATTTAATTAAAGCCATAAATTTTCAAAAGTAGGTCACTGTGACCTACTTTTCAGTTGTTGTACTCCGAGGACCCAAGATACATCAACTGACAAAGTTTGATGATTCTAAGCCAAATGGTACCCGAAAATATTAAATACAGCCATAATTTTCAGAAGTAGGTCACAGTGACCTACTTTTTAGTTGTTGTACTCCGAGAACCCAAGATGCATCAACTGACAAAGTTGATGATTCTAGGCCAAATGGTACCCGAAAATATTTAATACAGCCATAATTTTCAGAAGTAGGTCATGGTGACCTACTTTTTAGTTGTTGTACTCCGAGAACCCAAGATGCATCAACTGACAAAGTTTGATGATCTAAGCCAATTAGTACCCGGAATATTTAATTAAAGCCATAAATTTTCAAAAGTAGGTCACGGTGACCTACTTTTCAGTTGACCTACTCCGAAGACCCAAGATGCATTAACTGACAAAGTTTGATGATTCTAAGCCAATTAGTACCCGAAATATTTAATTAAAGCCATAAATTTTCAAAAGTAGGTCACGGTGACCTACTTTTCAGTTGACCTACTCCAAAGACCCAAGATGCATCAACTGACAAAGTTTGATGATTCTAAGCCAATCAGTACCCGAAATATTTAATTAAAGCTATAAATTTTCAAAAGTAGGTCAGGGTGACCTACTTTTCAGTCGACCTACTCCGAAGACCCCAGATGCATCAACTGACAAAGTTTGATGATTCTAAGCCAATTAGTACCTGAAAATATTTAATTATAGTCATATAAATTGAAAAGTAGGTCACGGTGACCTACTTTTCAGTTGACCTTTTTTGAGGACCCAAGATGCATCAACTTCCAAAGTTTTATGATCATAGGCCTTAAAATGTCTAAATTATGCCTCTAAAACGCTTTGAAATCGAATGCCTGTATAGTTCAAAAAGTAGGTCACTGTGACCTACTTTTTAATAAATATGTTTTATGGCCCCAAGATGCATCACCTTACAAGATTTAATGATTCTAAACCTCTCTGTATTTGAATTAATGACCTTAATTCTTTTGAAAAAGATTAGCCATAAAGTTCAAAATGTAGGTCAAGGTGACCTACTTTTTAGTAGACGTACTTTGAGGACCCAAGATACATCAACTGACAAAGTTTGATGATCATAGGCCTTAAATTGTTCAAAATATGCCTCTAAATCATTTTGAAAAAGAATGGCCGCAAAATTTAAAAAGTAGGTCACCGTGACCTACTTTTGAGTCAACATGATATGAGGTCCTTAGATGCATCAACTGACAAGATTTGATGATCCTAGTCCTTATAGTAAGCAAAATATCAACATTTTAACAAAATGTAATTTTTGGTCAACTTTGAAGTGACCTTGAGACTACGCCCTTTGCCCCAGGGTAAATCCCTGTGCAAATTTTAATCTACAACATATCCTCATCCTTTTGTGCAAGTTTGGTGATAATCTGCAAAGTGGTTCTTGAGAAGATTTTTTAGCAATCAGTACTTTTATTTCTATTTTCCTAATTATCTCCCCTTGTTTAAGGGTCACAACCCTAGTTTTAGTACAAGAGGGAGCCCTTGGGCCAATGATACCCTGTGACAAATTTGACAATAATTGGCCAAGGGGTTCTTGAGTTATGGCCCATATTCTAAAAAGTTTACACACACTGCACAAATGGCCATAGCATTAGCTCTTTGAGCCTTTGGCTCAGATGAGCTAAAAATACCCATGCAATTATGTTTTTTCCAAACTTGCACTTTTTTTTATATTTATGATTCAAAACAATAATTATTCATAAATATCATTACCACTGTTTATATCTGTTGTGGTTTTGATCAATTTATGTGTTCCCAAATAGTTTGTTATCGGAGAACGTGCACAAGTTGATAACCAAACCAAAAATTCACTCAAGTGTAACTAGCGCATTGGGATATACATCGTTACAAATAGACAAGGCATCTAAAAGAAATATGGCGGAATACAGCTCTAGTTGGTATGAAACAAGTCCTACATAGATGAATGCTGTGTTTTTAAGAATTCATGTCAGCTTTAAGGTTCCTCATTCCTCTCATCTCTCATATATTTTACTTCAAGGCTGCTGATTTTCCAACAGAAATCCAATTCATAATTAAAATGCTCATTTCAGCATACCTTGTGGTACAAAATTTGACAAAGAAATGGCCTTTATTGAACTAGAACAATTTTATAAAGGAATAAGGGCTTTTATTCCATCGATTCATCTCTCTTATCAGAGGAATCAATGAACTGTTAAGTTCAACTGACATTCAACACACTCAATGAACTGTTAACAAGTTCAACCGATTTTCAACACAGTCCACTTTCAAGTTGATTCTTGTTAAAATAGACACCTACAGTTAACTTACTAAATGCAAGTAAACCAAAATAGGAATTATTGGAGGATAAACAATGTAGGACATCACTATTTCAAATACAAAGCTTTGGGTCATATCACTTTTGGGTATTCCTCTTGAAAACAAAAACATATTGAAAATGATGAAATTTTTAATACATGACTTTTGTTTTACTTTAAAATAACAAAAACATACTATAATAATGATAAATATGTTTTTTTTCCCCTAAAACTCACTAGTTCTGTATGCAAATCAAAACATAATTGTCTACACAGATATTAATCTACTGACAACTGTAAAATACTTTAGGTTTAAGAAATGAAAACTGACACATTATGAGAAATCTTTGAGTATGGCTTGTCATGACACGATGACATTTCATTGATATGAGAATGAAAAGTGATACAAAACGAATCTATGACATAATAGAATGTCTTTTGAAGATGGGCGTTGGATAATGGTAACCATGGCATCTGTCTTGTACAGTTCTTTTTTTTTTGTTTTCACAGTTTTTAGAATGTAAACCCTTTTCACAGCATTTTCAGTACTTCCCAGAGTATCTTTTAACACTGAAATTAAAAAAGGAAGTATTTTTACAGCCATCTGTCACAATGTACATAATTTTATGAATCTTTCTAACTAAAAGCATAAAAAAACTGGACTTTTTTGTCATCTCTTCTCTACTGAACTTCAATGAACAAAGTACCACAGCTAAAACATGGCTGAAGCTAATAAAAAATAAACTCAGAAGCAAATCCACAGAAACCCATTTCTTAAGTATTCTAATCTTAATTGTCCACGACACCTCCTGTAAGAATGACCAATACACATAGTACATATTTCTCAACTGTATTGAAATGTAGAACAATATAGACAACGCAAGTACTCGGTTTCCTTGTTCCAATCAATATAGCCTGTAAATGTGTCAGAAATGGATAAACACCTAACTCCCCTGCTCTGAAGCTGAAATAAGACACAATCTGATGGCAAAGAATGGGAGCTAATCTATTCTCAGTGTTGGATTACATGCTAGCAGCATTGGTTATACAGGCTGGTTAGTAGCAAGCACCCGAATGAGATCGGAGAAAACTGTGATTTATTGTTTCTGAATATAATAACAACAAAATCACTAGTCTTCCAGAACTCACTGGATAAAGATTAATAAGCATTCCCATCACCAAACATGCCCCAAACAGGAGTTTTGATTAAATAATGAACATTCCTGCATACTTATACCTAAGAACTACTCAAAGTCTGCATACCATCACCATGCCAAAAAGTGAGAAATAGTTCTGTTTGATTATCTTGCATTCTCAATATCAAATCAAATACAGAGAAATAGTTCAGAGAGTGTGGTAACATTACGTCTTACACTATCTCACATAACAAACGTCATATCATTTATATTACCAAGCTACAAGATATAAGCAAACTATTCCATAGTTGGTTGTGCAAAAATCTTGACTTATCAGAAAAATAGTGCCATAGCCTTTATATCAGAGAGAAGTTAAGCTTGCCAAGAATGCAAGTGTATTTAACCTATGCAGAAAGCAGCCCTAGAGAGTGACAATTTAGGAGTAAAGCATGCTCATTGCTCAAGGTTCTTTATTTTGAAGTTTGAGTGTGCTGAGAAAATAAATGTTTCTGATATTCAAAGATGTGAAAATGACAAAGATTATATCATACATTGTAAAGGCCATAATGTAAAAGAGAGAAGAGTTACTGGGAATTAAGCATAAGGTGGATTGCAGATTGTCACACTTAAATCAACTCACTGAATATAAATTAATCAAATTCCCTAGATTGAAACTTGTTGAAGAGATAACAAAACTAAATCTATGCATACATACAATCTAATCTTACAATACACACATCTTACCTTTAATTAAGTCACATAAGTATCAGTACTCTTCATTTTACCTACCTATATATCCTTCTGGGTTTCCACACAAGAATGTAAAGAACTGGTGTTTAATAACTGGGAACCAAATAATCAATCAACAAATATACATATTTAATGACTGTCCACCACCTGTATCTAGAGTCCACTCTGATCTAATTATATCACACCTAGATGTCACTTCACTCATGCCTAATACTGGTCACCGTGGCAACAATATTACTCCCTCAACTGTCCAATCAGGTGACACTTCATGTTGGTCACACAAATCCTCCACCTGGCCATATGTTGTTAATATTTAATCAAGCCTTTACCTCAGGTAACATTAACAGAATAACCTGTCAGAACGACTTCATTATATCTAATGACAGGTGCAAATTGTATTGTCCGGACCAATCACAAAGTAATCATTATAATTTATTAAGAGCTTCCAGCATTAAATACAACCTCAAGTATTCATACTAATCTATCCCACTAGGAAATTCCAATCCATTTTATGTACAAAACTAGTCCAGTCTTACTGAGCATTGACCATCACTGACTTACTATTCTATTATGAGTAACAGAAAGCTTTAACAGAGATCATTTTACCTGCCTCTGTGAAATACAGCTGATGATTACACCGATAAGCACCACAAATTTTAAACCTGTTTATCCCATTTAACATGGGGAACACTGACACGGAAAAATACCTGTTTCACCTAGAAGTGTTCCATATGTAAATTCTTTTTCTTTAACAATGACATCATCATCAAACACCACCAAGAACTCAAAACTTCAACTGCAGCATTGTGCTAATGACACAAATTTACCATAAATAGAATCCAGTGACCTACTTACCACACCTAGTAATTGTATCCTCCTCCACCCCTATTGTAGCGGCCTCCACCCCCGCCTCCTCCCTGGAAAAACATCACAGCTTAGTATCTCCTGACAATACCCTCCCAGCAACCAGCCATGTGACAAGACACCTGTACACTTTCTGGTGACTTTTTAAGACAGAAAGTTACACTTCCACATCTTGTCACTATAGAATTGGACAAGGATTTTTTTTTGGCCAGTGTAAGCCAAAACCTCAGATTGTTGAAAAAGGCAGGACAGTAGGTCAAGTGGGGAGGTGGAGGGGTTTGACTTCCCAGGTAGAAATACTTACCCCAAATCCAACCTAACTGAGCATGGCAACAAGTACCTACCTGCTTTGTAAAAGAAATTGGGCATTTTGGATCTGTTCATGGGTGCCTGTGATAGTGATGATTCGGTCATTAGACCCGGGCAGGCCCTCATCAATGACTATCTGGGCATTAGATTGACGGCGTATTTCTTGTATACGTACACCACCCTTTCCAATTATAGCTCCAGCAAGCTAAAATATGGACATGATTTGGGAATAATTGATCATTAATGACATTTTAGACAAGGTGTTGAAATATATGGGCTAGATCTGGCTGAAGAATCTTGAGGAAAAGACTTACGTCCTTTGGAATGGTGACTTGGGTTGAGGGTAAATTTCCTTCGTTTCCAAACATCTGACCCATACCACCCTGTGGAAAGAGATCAAGGGAGATTACTCACAGGTTTAGATTAAACAAAACCTATGAATGGGCAGTACCTATTCTGCTGTAATGGGGTCCTAGTTTTGGAAGTGCAAGAGAGAAAGAGAACCTTGGTCTTTAAGAGATGGGGTAATAGAGATGTATAAGAGATGTGGAAGGAGCCTCAAGATATGCAGGGTAAACATAGACTGGGCCGGCAAGGCTTGATAATGGGCTGGGATCTGAGGTTATGACTTACTTTGACATATCTCTCTTCATCAAACAGGCTGCTTGCTGTGGTTTAATTTAGTCATATGCAAAATTGTTTATGGCATACATCTTTTAAAGTTGGAATATCATGCATCTATAAGATTTTTTTATTTTTTAAAAAAACTTTTCTAACAAACTTCGGTGGCAAAAATATATAATTTAAATATCAGATAATCTAAACCTCCAAATTTTTATAGCAGTGAATCCATTTTTCTGCAGTATTAAGTTGTAACAATGTTTCTTACTCTTCTTAGGTTAATCTGTCTTATTTATTAGCATCGTTAATTTTCAAACATCTTTTTTTACTCATGATAAGCTTGAGAAACCCTATTTAGCTTGTGTATAAAGACACAAATTCAAAAGGTTTCTAACCTAATTATCAATTTATAATGTAGATTAAGTGATCTAATCAAAATAATTGTAGTTCCAAATCAGCACTGAATTTTAATTTCCAAAAGCTGCAACTTTAGAAACGATTAATTTATAGGAGATATAGAGACTTGTATCATTGTAGTCAGTTTTCTAAAATCTGGAAATTCCATTGAAAATTGATAAAAATTTGAATATTACCAGCTACTTACTGAATTGTCTTGAGAGAAATTTTGTCCCATTCCTCCAAAATTATCATAACCATCGTCATAGTTATCTCCTCCTCCAAAATTGTCATAATCACCGCCTCCGTATCCTGAAAGGAGAAAGTAACATTTTACAATGTCAATATACTCACAAACCAATATAAAAAAAATACCATTGAAGAAGATTCTATAGAGAATACATATTACAATTTCTGTGTACAAACTTACTACAGATACCATCACCTATCAAACAGAAATAGTCTCCATTTCTTGAAAATGAAATTCTTAACAAATTATCTTTAAATGCATGTTCAACAATTTTCTGCTTTACAGACTCGTTGTAGGTTTCAATATTTTATATTTTAAATGATTATAAATTTGAATGGGAATTCTAAGTTTCTGGACTGTAAGCTGTCAAGCTTATTAAACCAAAGTAAATACTCATGACTTAAAATAGCCAGTTACTCACCTCCGCTGCCACCCATGCTGCCTCCTCCGAAGTTGCCACCACCTCCACCACTGCCACTGCCTCCAAAATTACCACTTCCTCCTCCTCCACTGCCACCGCCAAAACCGCCCCCTCTACAAAGAGAACAAAATTTAAAATTTACTCAATGACATCCAGAAAAGATGACATGTTCTTCTGTATGTAGCACCCAGCACCTATAAAACTCTACAATAAAGTTAATTTATATGATAAAATTAATTAGTATGATCGGGTCCACTTGGCTAAGTGAGCTTAGTTCATAGAACACGACCATACCCATATCCTCCCATAGCTCCACCGCCCATCGGCCCACCGCCAAAGTTTCCTCCACTGCCCCTGAAAAAAGGAAAAACCTCCCATACACTAACTGTCACCCTTATGAGCACCATTCTCACATAAAGAACTCCTCATACCCTTTACAACCTTACATCACCTTATCTCTAGCATTCATCTTCTCTCCAGATAAACGGGCCATTATTGGTACACTCACTACCTAACTCTTTCATCCCCTTTAAACACAAGGCATGACACGCACTTCACGTAAAACACCTACCTTCCTTGACGGTTTCCTCCTTGTCTGTTTCCACCTCCAAAACCACCTCCACCTCCTCCTCCAAATCCTCCACCGCCTCCGCGGTTTCCACCATACCCTCCTCCGCCACGGCCACCACCTCCACCGCCAGACCTCATCATACCGCCGCCACCACCTCCGCCTCTACGGAAATCTCCACCGCCTCCTCGCATACCTCTGTAATAGGAATTTTTACCTTTTATACTAAATATAAACAGATATTTACAGAATGCACAAAAAAAATCAAAATTAAATTGAACATGTAGTTAATAATGCTTTTGGGCTATGCCAGTAAAAATATCTGAGAGGGTGGGGGCTCTTTCCAGTTCTGAGCTATCCAGTTATACTACAATGAAGTGTAATATCAAAAGCCTGAAAGGCTTCAATGACGTCGAATAAGAAAAACAATTTCAAAAGATCATTTTGAATTTGAAGGTAGCAATAAGTCAAGTGAGTGACTCAGGAGAAATAATAAAAAAATAGTTTAAACGAAGTATCACAATTACAGTCTGGGGCCTTACGTCATGGTCCGAATGGAGCAGGGTTCGAATTGACCAGACACCGTCGAACATCTTTTCAGTCAGTTGAAGAACTATGAAGGATTTCGTGAATTTATATAATATTTTTTTCTAATTGCCAATATCAAAGCATTGTATTAGTGCTTGCATCTAAACTACAACCAAGCCTCTGTTCTGTAACAATTACGATCGAGTTACGATCGGGCGTGGTATAAGGTATACCGTGAAATGGAGGAAATGGAGAAATACAGCAATACTGGTCAATATCATCGGTTTTTAGGATAGAGTTGGTTAGAAGATTGTATAAGTAAAGCTAAGATTTAGAAATTCAATCTTTTTAGTCTTGTAGTATTCGTGTTTATGTAATTTTGTGATTATTTTACCTCCTGTTGTGTTGTTTTACGGTTATCGTTCCGAAATGTTATTCATGTCATTCAACGCACCCTTTCTGTAGAAATTCATCCGCAACAATCATCACGTTTTTCTTGTGTGAGAATAAAATACAATATTGTTGTTTTGCAATAGAATTAATTGCGGATATAATTGATGCAATTTTATTTTCAAGCTATTATTCATTTTGAGCGTTTTCAAAGAAATTGGTTTATAGCTATTGCTATTTTCTATTGCGGATGCATCGACTGACACATTCGGTCGCGTACATATCCGGTCGCGATTTCAACTGGGCGCTTGCTAGATGACGTTCGAGCTCCAAGAGCTCGACGTCATAAAAAACATATCTAAATGAAATCCAGTCAGACTTTTGGCTGTTAATTTTCTTCAAACACTGCAAGTTATCCAATAAGTGAAAAAGTTATCTTCCAAAAAAAATCTGCATATAGTTTACCTTCACTTAGAAACAAATAATCCTATTCCATTGTACCATTAATCAGTTTTCTTTCATCATAAATACCGTCAAAGATGGAAATATGGACATCTAAACCTACTCTACCAAGAAGCTCTTCTATACTGACCATAGCCAGTCCATTTCTTTAATCGGAGCCATTGAAAATTCAAGCTAAACGTATCAAAACTGTGTAATCTGAGACCCTAAATAACACAGTTTTTTATGTTTCTGGTTTAATCGTATGATATAAGGCTCATAAAATTGAAGACATCTGTAGCTAGTTATTAGTCATTTTGTTTATTGTATATCTTGTACCAGCCAGAATTCCTTCATTCATTCAACAACCCCTCTTTTCTTGTAATACTAGTAATGGATTCACATGATTAGAGATATGGAAAATGAAAAGATTACTTCATTAAGTGAAATTTTTTTTTTTATTAATAATCACTTATTCCTTGCAGACCTATAATAATGCATTTTAGGACTTTTTTCTATTGGTATGTGTGTGTGTGTTGGTGGCAATTAAAAAAAAACTGAATTTGCTTGGTGGTAGTGATTTGCATAGGTTTGGGCTCAAGTCTAAAAATCAGTCAGTGAATCCCCCCCCCCCCCCCCCTTTAGATAATTTTTACTGGAATAGCCCTGAAAGCATAAATTGATTCAAGCATTCATTCAAAACCCTACAAAAGTCAACATAATAGCATATAAACTAATAAGATATCTAATTAGAAAACTTCCTACAAATGCTTTTCAATGATGACTGTACCTGCTGCCACCACTGCCTCCACCTCTCATGCCCATGGGTCCACCACCCATTCTGCCACCTGGTGGTGCTCCTCTGGGGCCACCTTTCCCACGGCCTCCTTCTGATGCACTGTAACCACCATAATCTGCCACCATGAATTCATCCCAGTAAAGTGGGTCATAGGGCTGGTTTGGGCCTTTTGGTGGTGCCTGAAAAACAATTTTATGCATGTGACCAAGGATCGACATTAACAGTTGTCCGATTGCCCGGGACAAGTTAATTCTCAGTTCAGGCAATTTAAATTGTCGACGTACTTGTCCAATCGGGCAAGTGAATTTTTCTCATACAAATGTACATATTTATTTAGTATACATTAATTTATAAATAAAACAACAAAATGAACACTTGATTTCTGCAACGCACCTGAGTGACAATGTTTTCGCATTCGAAATTCCTTGGTAGTGTTTCTGGATTACCCATTTGGCTGAATATAATATGCACTTTTTTCCCAAAATAATTTTCTGTGGGATTTTGATAGGTTTTTCTTTCATGTGAAACACGGCTATCATACGCACATACCATAGTATTACCTAGAGACTTATGCAATTTCTTGCTGTTTATCGCCGTATTTAAAACGTTGGAAAGTTATTGCTGGAATGTAGGCTTGTTAAAAATGTTATTTTATAACCTTTTGATAGTTAAATTAAATTTAAAAGCAAGTTAAAATTAATTTGAGCTGCATGTTCATCGTCTCCGTGTAGGCCGCCATTAACGATGTTATTTATAGATGTTCACACATTCCTTTGCCACGTGCTTCCGTAATCATAGTACACATGTACCTAATCAGTCAGACACTCGGTCAAAAAAGTAATAAGTCATTTTTTAATGAAATACAATAAAATAAAATTTATTTTAGGTTTTAAATAACTCAGTGAAAATTCATTTCAACATAAACACCCCTCTATACGTCCCAATGAATGGAAGCCGATGTTGTGAACACGTGCACTTGTCACTTGATAATTACCCCTCAACACCCCTCCAGGCAATTAAATTGTTTACTGACTCCAAAGCATTGTTTTTACAGTTAGAGCACTGATTATTTACTGCCCTTATTAATGGCTTTGATTATTTTCTTTGTTGAAAATCGGGGTTTGGTTTATGATCTTTTGTATGTATAAGCGCGTGTTGATTATGACACATTAAACAGTTAAACGCTTGTTAAATGTAATTTTACTTTATCTTATATCAGCCTCGTGTTAAAATGATTGAGAGTTAAAAAAGGAAATATGAAGTACGTTGAAACTTAAGTGTTATCATTTACTCGTGCTCTGTAGAAAATAAGATATCCACGAAGATTACCTCGGTGTATGAAGACATATATCCCACATTTGTACATCATTTTTCACAGCTTTGGAGATGTGTTGATAACTACACTTTACACGCTTGTTAAATTTTGATTTTATTTTTATAACATCAGCTATTTAATCAATTAATTAATTTCAAGTTCAAAAGAGGAAAATCGTAGTCTGTGAATACTTTGATGTTGCAATATTGCTTGCCTTGTTAAATTTACAATCAACATGATTACCTTAAACTAAAAATAAATATGACAACTGTTAAACTTTCAACTATATCTCATGCTTTGTTGAAATAAAACTATTTCCACAAAGAATAGTTAGAATACAGCGACGTATAATTTCAATATCACCGTATGCTAAAAAAATTAATAATAAAGTCTGTTAATATTTTAATGCAACATTATCTCATGTTTTGTTAAAATAAATAATTTCCTCCACATTGCCGCGATATGGAAAGTCAAGATTAAGAAATAAAAACGCATTTGAATAAAATATCGTGTTCTGTAAATTTTTGGCACTTTATCTCCACCTCGCTTTTCATAGCAAATTACCCCGATTTTCAAAAGTTCAGAACACCGCTTGGTAAAATTTTCTGCTGCGTATAATACAACTGAACTGTGTTTTTATCCCAAGTTTCAGGCTCAAAAAGGGCGGTGCGTATTTTACACCAATGCGTATTATATTCGGCCAAATACGGTATATACCGTTCCTTTAAAAATCGGGTTCGTTATTTTATTTCAAAGTATGTCTTATAATTTTTAAAAATATGAATTTTATTAAAAGGAAACGGAGGGTTATTACTGCATGGCAGTGTGTGTTATCAGGTTAAATTTACAAGTACAGCGGTATACATTTTTGTACAAGTGCAGCATTGCCAAATTGACAGAAGTGTATTTGGTCACATTTTCTCTTACTATAACGTTTACAGTAATTAATAATTTTCTTCTTAAGTTCTTTCCTAATTTTGGGCAATCAAGTTTTGCATTCGGACAAGTCAAAGTTTGAGATCACTTGCCCGAAGGGCAAGTGAATCTGAAAGTTAATGTCTATCCCTGGTGACTTTCCTATCGCATGTGGAACATGATAAAATCTTCACAAGAACACTTCACACTAGCAGAATTTTTTTTCAGAACAGTTATATTAACTATGATGCTTCAGGGCCACACATGAAGCATGGAAGCCCTTCATGATAAATATGCCAGAGTGAATTGTTTAGTTCATGTACCTCATGAATTTTCAAAAATTCAATTCATATCTTATGTTATTTATCTGATGAGTTGTCATAAATTATGCCATTCAACTGTCATTTTTTAAAACAAAACAGTTTGCACTTGTGTTTGAAAGTCAGGATGGTATTATGATGCAACAATAGAGATATTCATGCTCAATCATGGTAGTTTATGAGAAAATGAACTCTTATTCGTAAAGAATCTTAAGGGAAAATAATTGGATATGTAAATATTTGAGAATGGCTGCACTTTCAAACTTCCAAACAGAATTAATCCACACTTGTGCATTCATAAGATGCTTTAAGCGCTCAACTACAAATGCACTCGTAATTACAGGTTTAGACCCAAGATACCAAAACTGTAGTATCAATATCAAATGCAAATGTCCATTTGTTTTTGTTTTTCACTTTAATGTCTGTATTTATTTTTTTTAAATGTCTGTAGGACATTGTTTTGTCTCCATAGAAATGTAGTAAAAATATTTAGGTATTTCAATGTTAGGGCTACCTGAAGGAAAGAAGGGTGACCTTTTTTGTTGACTTTTGGTTTTTGTTTTTTGTTGATTTCATGAATCATTTCTACAGTCACCCTAAAGGACTCCTTACCGTCTGTAAGAGGTCGTGGATGGTCTCTATGCAGTCTACCACAGTCTTTGGCTTTCCTCCTATTGCCACAACTCTCTCTGTGGATTCGGGACAACATTGGGAATATACTTTGATTTGTGCTCCAGTTCTCTGTAAAACAAATGAGCAGTGTGCATTAATATCTAACATTCAAAATCAAACTCCACTGTACGTTATCAAGATATATATTACAGTGGAGTCTCGTAACTACAATGTACATTTTCATAATATCAAGGCTGACGTAATAAAAGTTCCCATTAAAATCCATCAAAACAATGTTTTGAAAGCTTATGTTATCTATGGATAGGGGTGTAATTTTTTCCATTCCGTTTTCTCTTCCATTCTTTTTTTTTTTCAGTATTTGGGACTGAGGGCTTAAGCCCTGACTTGGGAATTTCAGCTTTTCAATTTTCTGATTACTTATATCAAGAACAATAGTGGTATGAATTCAGAAGTCTTAAATAGACATACTTTTATTGTTCATCAATGGCTTTACTTCCATTGAACCCACTTGACTTGTCAATGTGTGATTAGCCAAGTCTCAATAAGCATCTAACAGGCCTGGTAGCTTACACATGAGCACCTTGTTAAACCACAGATTTTGTAATGTTTATTTAGCAGATCCTCAAGGGTCTGTTATCAATCAACACTGATTAAACAGAGTGAATTTTTGGTGGCTAAAATTTTTACATCATGATACAGAATCTTGGCATTCTTGGACATCATAATAAATGTTCCTTTTTAGAAATGGTTTTGTGCTTTGAATTTTCAACATAAAAAGCTTTCTATCACATTAAACTGTCCACGTAACAGAGACTCCACTGGTCACGAATTCCTAGTTATCACAATCTTTCATAAATTTACACACAGGCAAGGACAATAGAGCTGTTACAATTGTACAATATATTTTACATTCAGACAAGGGCAAATGGCGAACTCTCATAAAACAAAATGCTGTTTCTAATAGGCAATCAAACAATTTAGCTCACTTTCAAATAAGCTTCCTTTTTCTGAAACTTTACAAATACCAGAACTTGTTTTGGGCAGAATATGCCCTTGTCAAATCTGCCAGCATATGTATAATTGAGCATAAAGAGCCACATAACAAAGAATTTCTTTCCATTTAAACTGACCTCTCTCAGTTCCTTGATTTTGAAACCTGCTCTGCCAATGATACATCCTGCTTGACTTTGGTGTACCAGCAGTCGCATCTCACAATCAAAATCATTGTCTCTGTAGTTTTTATACTAAAATCAATCCAACAAGTCAACATTTACCTTGTAATGTAATCAATTTTTTTAATTCATTCCATATTCATAAAACTTGGGTAAAAACGGAAATGAAACTTTCTTCAAAATCTAAATTTTCTCTCAATGAAAGTCATCTACAAATTTATTGTGGTTTATTTAAGTCAGGTGATAAGTACTCACATCCTCTAGCTTAGGAATGATGTCAAGGACACAGTCCAGTGCTGTACCAAGATTGGCCCCAATGGTCAGGACCCTGTAAGCATATAGAATCAGATTACATACAGGCCACAAACCAGTCTTAATATTTATAATGTACAGCAACAGCAAAGGAAAAATCAAATGTTGAGTGCATTTGTTCAATAAAATTAAAGAAGAAAGCATTGGCAGAGTGTCCTATTTTTGTTGAAATTTGCTTATTACATTTGCATTCCATTACATAAGCATTAGAATAGAAACTCTTGCATTATTTTGATATAGAAATGCTTCAGTGTTGAGGAATTTGAATTGTGGTACTTCACAAAGTTAATGGTGAGTCTAGAGTCACGGCAGAGTGCAGTAGAGACAGCAAAGCATAACCCCTCATGACTGTAAAGTCATCAAAGTCACATATATGACCTTGACCTGTCTGAAGAATGGACTCTCATCCTCTAACAGACAGGGCTCTGGATTTGACTCTATCAGAAATGAGGGGTCTTGGTAAAGCTTGACTACTTCACTGGCAAAGTAGACAGAACCTCTCAAAAGAAATGTAAGGGTCACATTACAACAATTTAAGATATTAAAAAGAAAATATGCATCAACATTTACAAGACTGGCAAAATTTGCGATATATCAAGGCCATGAGGTCACTCTTAATGGGATTTTTTTTCATTTATGTAAAGAAGTGTCAAGCCAGTATTAAGAAGGCTTGAAAAACATTTGAGTGGCATCTCAAGCATCTGTTTGAGAGTAAAAAAGCCCCAGGATTTATTGAGCTGCTACCAAACATATCTGAAAAAATATGACCCCTCCAAAGTGCACTTTCCTCTGCCATAAATACACAACTACATCCACACATTGTGTCAAGGTTGCAGAGTGCTAGGGTAAATTATAGGACACCTTTTAAAATAGGACATCTTACAATTTACACTAAAAGTGTACTAGTATTAATAACCTAGATAAAATCATCACAAAAAGCACAACCCAATAACTATTACCACCCAACAAAAAACTCAAACCAACCCTTCCCTGTTAGGACCTGGCCGAGTTTACACAAGGAGTTCTAACACACAGCATTTCTACAGATAATATTAACAAGGCCAAGCAGTTACAAAGGAAGCAAAAAGATCTGTTTACTTTCACAAACACACTGGTAATGAGGCCTGTTCTGACAAATTTTACAAACATATTTTAGTGTAAACTCGCTCAGAACTTTATTTTTTCCAAACTTGTATGAAAACTATATATACATATAACAAACCAATTAAATAAATAGAACTATGATAAGAAACATATATATAAATATCTGTTTTTAAATTAAAAAAAGGTCATGATTCATTACATACATGATAGCAGCTCAAGGGTGAGTTTATGATTAATCATATGATGAAAAGGAAAAAAAATGAAATGAACCAATTCTGCAATGTGGAGAATTGGAGGATGTCATACCGTTCGGGACTTGTAGAGTCGGGCACTGTTACACTGGCTTTGTACTGCATCATGGGGAGGGCAGACCAGGTGGACCAATCCAGTGGGCGGGTCACGGGAATCAATTCAAACATTTGAATTGGACAGGGCGAGGGGTGGGAGAAAAGGAGAAAAAATGTCACATCAGTTAAACATAGGGCATCAGCAATGTCTTACGGCATATTGGTGTTTAATGGTTTACCAAATAGTTCACCATCAAAACAATCACTTACTTCCTTTATAAACTTAACTGAGATATATTTCAAATTTCCAAATTGATTTGTATCTTTTGGAAGATGGATGTTATAATTTTTTTAAAATGTCTTTTCACTCTGAAGGACAAATATTGTAATAAAACAGCGTAGACATATTTAATCTTCTGAGGAAGGTTACATTATAAATCTGGAAGATCATTTGTCTGCAGAAAAGAACAAGACAGGTACATTATCAATATTATTACAATGGCAAAGTCATAATATGCTGCAGATTATATAACACAAAGATATAGAAGTCCCTGGTCTACAGGTGCCAAGGTATTTGTTCTCATTTAGCACTAGGATCCCAGGGTGAATATAGATATGATCTCAGTCTATGTGGATCTTAACAGATTACTGAGGTTCAGCTATGTGAGTTCTGGATTTTATGAATCACAGATGATGATCTCCAGGACAATTTGTGTGTAAATTTGAATACGGAAACTCAGGAACTTTTCCAATTTTACAAAAATTTTGTTTGGATCATTGCCAAAAAATGTTGTGTGACAAGTGATGTGCAGTCATGGTAATGTGTACTTACATCCTGTCGCAGTCTTTTAATGTTGCTGCCTCCTTTTCCAATGATAGCACCAGCATTCTACGAGGATAGGAAAAAAAATTATCATCATCTCTTACACCCAACAAGAGAACTCCAGTTACACATTTGATGAAAATGTTTCAAGTAGCTTTAACTAATTTTGTTACATGTTTCAGTACTATGCATCAATTTATCCAAAGCATTGTTATCGCTACTCTTTAACTAGAATTAAAATTTTGTTTCAGGTATATACATGTATACATATTGATTTTTGTACATCGTTTGTGACAGATTCTTCAAGGTGCACAGAGTTTTTAAGAAACCTTGTACCATTCTAATCAACATTTGACAATTAAAAACTTACAGAGTTTCCAATAAAATCAATAACCTCTCTGATAAAATTGATACTATAATTGCTCCTGTGTAAGCCCTCCCTGATCAATATTTCTGGATGTTTTATTCTGACTTTACAAGACCTTCCCACTTTTCACCCTATGGATACATAGCAAGCCTGCCACCATATGTTAACTTAATTGAACATTTCTTTGACTTTTTTGTGGCAGGAAGCAGCAAATGTTTGTGTTGGACTATAATGCTAGTTAATTTCCTTGTATTTCTACTAATTACATGACTGTTGAGTTCCAGGAAGTGTTGGTTTTGAATCAATAAGCTAGACCCTGTTGAAGCCCTCAGGTGACAAATTTTTACCTGGAATAACCCGTTATCTGATCATAACCTCCCTTATCAAACTCCAATTTTTCCCAATTATTGCAAATGAAAGGAAATTTTGCCAACTACTGGAAAGCTGTAATTCTGTTTCAGTAAGCCTTACTGGTACCAAATCATACAATAATGGTTATCATTTTACCCTTCAGCAAACACTATCCATAGAATGCAGTAATTTCCACTTTCACCTGTGTTTATACTTGCATCCTATTATTTCAATCATTTTCTACCACGAGTCAAAGTGTGAGTAACTATTTATTCATTCAGCTTAAAATGTTATGCTTAATAATGAAGGGTGTATCCCCTTTCCCCATCCTCCCTCCCACCCCCCACAAAAATAAAATTTATGGCTGCAGTTTTTCTTCATCTGACCAACAACTTAAATGTCAGGTGTTTTCTACACTAGGATCAAACAAGCTGTTACTTTTACACAAGATTCAGGCAGTAGTTAATGGCAACGGCAGACAATTTACATTGATAAAGCAGCCTCTATAACAATGTTTTTACCCATTGCCTGCAGATATAAATGTAACATTGTGTTTCTTGAATAATTCAGATGCCAACAAATAAAACTGAGATTAGTGAAGCCAGATATCAGTAAAGCTGATGGCTTTATCATCTTACCTTGCTGGCCAACAGAAACCTCAGCTCCACTTTGGGTCCATCACCCCTCCTTCGCTTATGATCATCCTCATCCTCCTCGTAATCGTCATCTAAAGGACGCTTCATTCCCACTGAAAATAAGATGCAACATGACTGACAAAGATAGTAGACATTGCCAAATATTCATTTCAAATGATACAGATTCCTTTTCTTGCTTATTTTCTGCTAAAGGTAACGGCCATTTATGTAAGCCCAAAAACACTCCCTTTTTCCTGGATGCTGCTGGAGAAAATAGACAAGGTTTTTCTTGTCTCTTCTTTCCCACAATACTATCATAACTCCTGTTGTTACTACCCACTCAAAAAAAGACAAAATATGAATCTCCTGATAGAAAAAAAGAACCTCCATATCAGACACGAGACATTCTGCACAAGAACAAATGAATGTGGCATTAATCAATACCAGGCACCCACCTGAGCCATAATAACCTAATGTCTTGAGGTCTCCAGTTGATTTTCATTCTTTCCTTTTTATCTCTAGTCATCCTACCTTGCCTCTAGATTTGCTGCACAGTATCTCTCCCTACCTACACCTACCTACTGGCCAGGTACAGGTGACAACACATCATATACCCACTAATCAATTTTCCTACCTTTCCTTTGCTTCTGTTGACATGGTTGCCAAGTAACAGCCAATCAGAAGCTGCCACAAGGAAGAAGCTTAAGGTACTAACAGTATAGCTTCTGTCCATTGTTGTGGACAATATTACATCATAGTAAGACTATCAGATGATACTTCTCACAACACTCCCCAATCAATAAAATCTACAAAGGAACCAGCTAATTTTTGTCCATCCATTTTTTTTTTTTTAGTGCAATCATTGTGTGCATTAATCAATAGAATACAGAACACAGTATCAGAGAACAGCTGTATTGATTTATAGGGTAAATTTTATGGTAGTCTCCTCGATACCATACACCTGCAGCAACCTGACATTTTAATGCTTCTCACAACACCCACACCAACTGTTTTATATTCAAAGGAAAACTTTAAAACTAGCACCATTTCTCAGAAACTCTTGGCTAAATTTTAGCAATGTTTAAGAAGGCAAACTTTGATCTGCTGACAAGTCAACTAGTTTAGATTCCTGTGTAGCGCTACAATTTTATGACTCAATTATATTGCTTCAACATAGCAGTAATAAACTCAATCTATCTTACTGTCATCATCCATGGTGACAAGTACAATTTCTAGTAAATGGTTCCCTGCTCTGTATCCAAAAGATGCTGTTTTATCAAATCAATCTGAAAAAAAAAAGACTGAGATGAAAAGTTCTGCAAGATAAACTCTACATAGTAAATAAAAAAAAAAAAACCACAAAGACCAAGTGCTAAATACTGCGACCTATTTCTGATTAGTCATGGCAAGATTTGCTGCAATAGAAGAATTAGTAGTCTCTCTCATGACACAAGATCAAAGTCACCACTTACAACATTATAATTTTTCCCATATTGATTACACCTATCTCTTGATCTTTCTGCTTCATTTCTCCATTCTGAAAGTGAGACAAGCTCAGGTATAAAATATTCAGTACCTGGTTAACACCGAGGACAAATTCTGCAAATAATTCAAGCCTAATTTCCAACCATCCTGCATTCTCAAAATTGACATGTTCAATATAGACATAACCATGCAAGCCGACTCTTAGCCTTCCATATTGTATGTATTTGATCTATAACCACTTCTTAAGCTCATTGGCCAATGTAATTTGCTTTCACTTATACATGGATTTTAAATGTACTCTGGTTTCTTTTTCAATAGTTCCAATTGATCTGTCGGAACATTTCTGTTGACAGAACTTTTATTTTGAAGCACACTGGTCCTCCCCCCACATCGACCTGTTCCCCTTGTTACACAAAATTTCTTTGCACCATTTGTCAGCATTGTTTTCTAACAAAGCACCTGCAATTTTTGTCTTGTTGATCAACATCCACAGCAAACAAGGCAAAAGTAACAGACATCAGGTTCCCAAATTTGGTCAATATTGAACAAACATTTGTTGATGCTTACTTTAAATGGATGTCACACAATGAGGGTTTCTCATGGATAAAATCAATAACCAAGCAGTACCCAGCTGTAATAGATTAGGTATTTTTACCCGAAAGACATATCTACAGAAATGGAAGTGTAATGGTTAAGGAGCAACAGGACATGAATACTAAAACACTGCATTATTATGGTTTCAAAACATCCAGGATAACAAATCTATGCATTGTTTTTCATAAAATGTATCATTATTAGTACCTTAACAGCACTCAATATATACATAAGCTTACAATAAATCCGCGCAACTTCAACACAGTTAAGATAAGCTGCAATATTGATAAAACATTTAAGAAAATTGTTACAGGCAGTTTACGTAATACAGTGTACTTGCATTGGTTGGTATAAAAGTGAAAAACAAACCAACTTTTGCTACATGATACTTTGTTGCATATTACAACCTTTGCCAACAATTACATTGTTGAGCATAATAGTTAAAAAAAACAAAACAAAAAAAAAAAACAAAACAAAAAAAAAAAAAAACCCTGCAACTCCTGCTGTATGAAACAGGAAGTTTTATCTCATTTTATCAAGACAGTCTATTTAAAGCCATTCAAAAAAGGTTTTTAAAAATTCTACTACAAAACACTGAGTAAAATAATCAGACATTGGAACTGAATAGCTCACCCATTGTCCCCTTTGTTCACTATGAACAAAGAAAATGAAGAAAAACATCTTTTGTTTTTAGGATCAATGCTTCAAAGTTTGCCTAGTCTACTTGGCTATTACTATACCCTTTATCACACTTCAAAAATCAGCTCTCTGAAGGTCTGCCTTAAATTCAGGAATAATCCTCATTTTAGAATGAATAGCAAAATAATACAGTTTTTATAATCACTACTGACAATGATTTGATTTGGCAATATAGTTGAATTAGGTAGTACAGTTCACTATTCCTGCCTAGAATTTATTTATTTATTTATTTATTTTTTGGTAGAATCTACTGAATTGAGCATTTACTTCTGTTTATCAGATCAGGCCTTTCAAAATATGCCAGTACTGGGTAATTTTACCCAGCTGAAATCATGACAGTACCAGCCAAAATATTTGATAGAGAAAAATTTTATTACACATGTAATTGATTAAAATTGCTTCCATAAGGTACCTCCTATTTTTGTAAAAGTACCGCCTGTTTCTAATTTTTTGAAAGCCTGCCTGATGGCATAGAACAACTGCATAATAAGGGCCCTGACACTTGATAGGCCTGAAATAACATAATGCATGTACATGCACTACCCCCAAAGACAAGTGTTGTTGGAATTTCTGTTTCAATGTTGGTTCTTTCATTACAAAGCATGAACATTCACAAGATCAAGCATGAACATATACTGAATCACCTGGCAACCATATAAAATCAATATTTTAAATTCTCCTGCAAACTAAATAGAATATTGGAGTCTTTGAATTCTCTATCAGAGAGAGAGAGGGAAAAAACTATCCCCTTTTTCAATCAACTTCAATGCACACCATACGGCATTGAGATCTTAGGGTATTTGTCTCTTAATAATGATTTCTCCCTCAACTATGAGATTCTTTGTTATAGCTCCTGTCTTGAATTATTCATAGAAATTGATATATTGTAAAAAGTTGTCCTCAGCTAATGACTTTTGATATAAAAAACAGCCGTGTTGTTGATATTGATTGGACAGGTGGAGAATGTCAGGTGAGAAGGCTCTCTCACCTTCTTCATATGCTGCAACCAATCCGACAAAATCACAACTTTATTACAAAACTAGGAGAACCATTCTTAACTTAATCAGCACTTTTTCATAATGCCAGTGGTTGGAATGATGGTAGATTAGGAAAGGTGTGAATTTTCATTTCCAAGCATGACAGTCCTTGGTTTTGTTGTCCTTTTTTTTCCCTTGTTACCCAAAGTTTTATAAAAGCCATATGAAATTAAATTTTACTTATTTTTCATTAAAAACAAAATCTTATAAAGCTGCAAGGGTCAGTAATTCTTTAATGCATTTCCCCCATAACCCATTAATTCAATTCTCAATACAAAGCATATCAAGACAAATAAAATCAATCATTTTTTCTTTCTTCATTACTTAGGTCATATTTTTGAAATCTTACCCTTATCAGCTAATAAAATGTTCCACCCTGTCCAGCAAATCAAACAGGAAGCTAAATTGAGGCTTGAGAAGTTTGGGATTCCCAAGTTTCCTACTTTCGTTTTGATGGTGCGTTTAGTATGTATTTAGGAGTCCCTCTTATCATATAATGCAACAGTGTAAGTGTAGTGTTCTTGACAATCAGGACGTGTCCTGACACGAATCACAGAGCACACAAAAGAACTGCACAATGCATATCTAATGGGTTTTATGAACTATTGAAAATTGCAGAAAAACTGAAATAAAATTCTGCAAACTTTTTTTTTTCTCTTGTTTTTGTTTTCAATTGTCTCCATTTTTCAGAACAAAGATATTAGAAAAAGAAAAAGTCTCGGACAAGACTGTAGCTTTACTTGTTTGTACTTATTTCTCTTGTGAAACTACTACAAAATGTTTTTTTTGCAGTTGATTTGATTCTTTGCATCCATCTTAACTTTTCCTTATTGAATCTGATACAAGACGACAGAACTGAGGTGTCATTTATGTGCTGTAATACTCTCAGTTATATCATTTCAGTTGCTGCAAAGCGGCTTCAAGTTTCCACTTATTTATCAGAGTTAATTCTTTATAATCCATCTTTCTAACTCTCTTGTCTCTGCTTCATCCACATGAAAACAAAGTAACACACTAATAAACTAAAATTTTATTTCATGACATCATGAAATTGTGAGTTAATTTGCTGTGGGTGATTAGATAAAGATGAGTATTGATACAAAAAGAGTATCTAATACAATTGAACTTTGTTATTTTGAACTTCTAAATCTCAAATCAGTCTATGTGAAAGTCACCGAACCGTTGGTTTTTACCGGTAAAATTTGGTTCAGGTTGGGAAAAAAATTCAGGATATAGGACCGATTTTCAGATTAAAAAAATAAGGCCTAAAAATCTGAATTTACATGTACATATGGTCTTATTGCCCACACATATCCTTTATTTGATCCATTTAGCTGTAATACATGATTAATTTTCATCTTTAAGAATCCTGTCATGATCGTTCATCTCCAATTCAAATTTCCTCTGTCATGGAATAGAAATCTATAAATAGCTCATAGTACGTTGATTCGGTTGGGGGAAAATCATTTTCATTATTAAATATGAGTAACCATTATGAGTTATTTCAAGAAAATATATTAAAGTGCATTTTAAGCTAAAATCTTTGACATGGTTATTTCGTTTGTGTCAACTAACCAGAAAGAGAAAATTTTATGCAAAAATTATTAATAGTAAGGTTGTGCATTTCAAATTTAAGGTTCAATTTAACAATAAGAATTACCCCATCAACACCCCATTTTAATCTCTTTATTATAATAATGCATGAATTTAGAGAAAAAAGGTCGGTCTGGTAAGTAATGATTGGTCTGGTAAATTATTTTTACCAGACAATATGTCCTGTAAAAAGTTTAGACTTTTGCGTAGACTGTAAAATACCTTGGATATGTTGAACCGAGTTAAAATCCCACTCTTTGTGTATATTAACTTTGATATCTCAAATCACTGGATAAATCTCAGTTTTTTTTCTCAGACCATTAGAGTTCGATATGTTTGACTCTGTATCAATATTATATAAAATTAAACACTGTAAACAAACTGATACAATTATAATTTTGGGGCCTTATGTGCCATGGACTGATAGTGTCAAAAATAAACAAAGGCTTATGCATGCTAAATAATTAACTCACCTCTTTACAGTCAGTTGAAAAACTAGGAAGGATATAATGAATTAATCTAATATTATTCTATCTATCAATGTCTAAAACATTGTTTTTTGTTGCTTTTCTTTTTTTTTTAGCAATTGCACCTTATAGCTACGACACGAGTTATGATCAGGAATGGTATACTGCATACATAAAGGAGAAACACAGTAATAAAAATAAAAATTTTCTTTTGCCAATGCGAATGACATCTTTGGTTATCCTATTCCGACAGGAATGCTCACCATTGCGCAGTATTTTCAAAAAGATTTTCCACATTCCAAAGAAGGAAATATATTTGAAATAAAAGGAAACCAATCTTGGTGAGGGGTCTGAGGGCTGCCTCAGGCCCCCAGTGGGTTCAGGGCAGAGCCCTGGTAGGGGGCCCAGGGA